CCCCAAAACCCCAAAACCCCAAAACCCCATTTCCTCTATAATTTAAAATTTAAGAAGTTGTAATTTTTAGAGAAATTAATGGTTTAATCGTTTTATTAAAATTCATCCAGTACAAGCGAAACAATGTAATCTATCAAATTCAGGTTCAAATCCATTTATATCTGTATTAAATCCAAATTTAAACCACATTAACTGAATATAAACCTAAATCCTTTGAGGTTGATATGTTGAAAATTCTAAAAACCATTATCTTGGTCTTAATATTCCTTCCTTTCTTCTTCTTTTAACATCATCAATAACCTTTTCAATATCATTTGGGTCTTCAATAAAAGCCCCTGTCTATTCGTTAACATATTTCCAACCTCCAGCAATATGGATATTAACGACAATTGCTGTATCGACAGTCAATCCTTATGTAATAATTCTAGGAGAAGCATCAGACATACTTGGTACTAGCAAAATGTCAGTCCTAGCTAGAGTGTCAAAGAATTCATTTTGAGGTAGCATATCTACTCTATCAACTTTTCCAACCCAACTTGGTGGGAGTTCTCTCCCAATTAGCAACATCTTATACTTTCCAGTTGCGGCTAACTAATCATAGAGCTATACTCCTAGAGTCCAATTCTTGCAATCTTCATGCCAAGTTTCATTTCCTAGCTAAGACATAGCAATGTCATATCTATCCTTTTCAAATGATTCAAATCCATTAGGGAACTAATCATTGACTTCTTTTAGCATTAAATCTGAGTGAGCAAATAGGATTCTTGGAACAGTCAAATTTCTAAGTTCAACAGAAGGGTTTCTTGAATTGTGCAACCATCCGGCCCAATTTTTAGCTAATTCAAACCAATCTCTATCTAGAGACCTGATTGTATCATCAGTTTCATATTCCCATTAGGTGATAACTGGAAAACTTCTATAAGATGACTTTCCTAAAACCATAAACTCCTCTTTCATTAGGAATCTTGTTCCCTTTCTAGAATCAGAATATTGAGGCTAACCTACCATGACAATTTTTAATCTCTAATGTGTATCAAGCTCAATCGGTTAAAAGTACGGCTGATCATACATCTCTTCTTTGTAGTGTCCCATTATATGAATTTCATAGCCTGGGAGATTTTTATACTTATCTTCTTGTAAGTATAAGTCAACTATTGAATCATAATCAACAATTTCATATAATAGCCATTCAATTAGAAGTCTTGTGTTATTATCCCTATTTTCGCAGTGTCTCTTCCAATAGTACTTTTCGAGATTTTCACCTTAGAGTCTTTCATCGACAATGTACTAAATAAATTGCTAGTAATTTGGTGACTTATCTTTTAAAAACTATAGATATGTTCCCATTTCTTGTTATTCATAATAGTATTCAAAATTTCCATCAAATTTCTTGCTGTAAAATCTAACAAATGGAAGAGAATAGGGCCATATTCCCCAGAATAATGAGGAAGTAAGGTCGCATCCTCCAACAATAACCCCTGTGTTATTAACCCTATCAGCCAATATGTTAAAAAATTCAAGATGTTCCTTGGATGCTAAATCATCATCTGAATACATTACTACAAGATAATCAAACATCTATGGAGGAAAATTTTCTTCAAAGTATTCATTTCTAAAGTTTCTGTATATTAAACTGGGTTACTTGTAATGGTCTAAAGTCTTATTATCAGTTCTCCATTCTAAAAATTTGTTAATAAGTTTTGGGAATGATTTTTCATTCATGCTTGTAATTGATCCACTAAATGTAACATCTTTGGGCTTGATAAACCAGTAGGTATTAATCAACTCAAATAGACTGATATCTTTGAATTTGGGAGTTGCATAATAGAACCTAATGGAATAATTTGAATCAAATAAGTGCTGTACTAATGGTTCAACTAACCTGAAAAAGTCATTCAAGTTATAATGATTTCTATCGTAGTATATAACTAGATTATCTCTTGAAAAGCTCTGATAAACAATATTTTCAGGATCAAGATTATACTGGAGATTCAGGCTCTCTTCATCTGTTTGAAATGCTAAATCTATTTCATCATCTACATTTTTCCATGTAATATCTACTAATCCAGGCCATAACTAAGGCAAACCGATTGCAATGATATTTAGATTTGTCTCTTAGGGTATATATTCTACTTTCCAAGCTAAGATAGAGCTGTAAATATTTAGCAACTGTATTAAATCGTAAAGCATTTTATTAATTTATCATTTTATTCATAAAATTTAAGTATAAGGCAAGTTGGGGTTTTGGGGTTTTGGGGTTTTGGGGTTTTGAATTAT